TTCCCTGCCTGCAAGCGTCTCTGGCATCCCTTGGTGTGCGTCTCTCCCCATTAACACCTGGGGAAAGAGCAGGTCACAATGACATTAACCACCCCAGCTCCATTGACTGCCTGTGAGGGACCAGGCAGAGGCACTGCCCCTCCCCCCCTTTGGCATTCTGTGAGTGTGCAAAAGGGGTGTGACTTGCACATAGGGCCAGAAATGCCGCTTGCTGGAGCATGTGACATGACTCGGGGGAGACCAATTGCATTCTGCAGCCTCCTCCAAGTCACTTCCCTGCTGCCTCACCTGGACCCTCAGCCCAGCTCAGAGCAGTTCCCCCTGACTGCAGCAGCACCACCAGCCCAAGGGTGTTTTCACTTCCTCCCACCTCCCCAAGATGAGTCCCCACACCAGTGAACCAGATACAATAGACAGAATGGTGAGTTCGGGAAGACCCAAGCCTGGGAAATATGTGCTCACACCCGCCCCCTGCCAGCACTCGCAGACAGGGAATTGCTGGAAGCCATGGCTGCTGAAGGTCTGGGCCTGAAACTATTAGTCACTGGGATGTAAGTTTGGGTGTGAACTTTCCATCCCTGTACAGACTCTGACCGGCTCCCCTCCCCCCCTGGAAATGCAAGGGAGCCCCTTTATCAAAGGCATCTCCTTTCCTGCCGCTGCTTTCTAAGTGTTCCTGCTGTATTCGGACCCCAGACAGGACATACGGCTGCGTCAGACTCCAAGCAGAACAGAACACCACCACCAGTGGCTGGTGCTGATTTCCCTCAGAAGGGCTTTGCCAGGGCTCCGAGTCAGTGACACCTACAGCCATTCAGCTCATGCTAGAGCTGGGCTCTTGCACTGCAAATCCTGCCCTGAGTTTGGCCTCTGCTGCTCTGCAACCAGCCAGGGAAGTCAAGGGATCTGCTGCTAGTTTTACACTGAAGAAGCTCTCTAAATGAGCTTGCCTCTTCTATCCCTCCAGGTAAGGTCTGCTCCAGACCTAGGGTGACCACCTTTTCAAAATGGAAAGGCAGTACACATGCTAGCCTCCCCTCTCCCGCCAGGGGTACAGCCAGAGCAGAGCTGAGCCAAGCAGGGTGGATACAGGCTGCCCGCTGTGGACTTGGGGCTTCCTGCCCTGCTGCCTTTCCCCTGGGAGCTGTGCTACCCCTCCCCTCCCCCCCGCCTGCTGCTGGGTGGGCAGGAGGCACCTCACCATGGCAGTGCAGCCAGTGTGGGGCCCCCAGGGGGAGGGCAGCAGGGCAGGGAGCCCCAAGGCTGCAGTGGGCAGCCCGCATCTGCCCCCACTCTGCACACAAATTTGGGGGAAAACATGCTTCATGTCCCCCTGGAAGTGTGTGAAGTTGTGGGTAGCCATGCCCCACCTCTTCCCCCCCCCAGATGAGCCACCCGTGGCCCTGGCTCCATGCAGAGTCTTGGTTGGGCAGTGCCCCCCGCCCCACCACACTCCCTCCCTCACCGTCAGGGCCTCAATCTGTTCGCTATGCTCCCCTTCCCCCACAGACTTACCTGCAGGAAGCTTCTCTCCATGCTACTTGGCTGTATCCCAGCTACATGCATGTGAGCAGGAGCACACATGCATATGGCACCCCCTGCATCCCACTCCCAGTAGCCTCATACAGCCTGCAAGAGGAAACCCACCACTTCCCAAACACAGATCCCTGCAAGATACTATGAATCCAGGACAAATGCTGTCCCCGAGTCATGCAGCTTGGGATTGGGACTTGATGTCCCCATTCTGGAACTGTCTGGCCCAATTAGGGATAGGTGGTCACCCTACCCAGACCAGACCAGCAACATGCCTGCCCCTCAACATGCGTTCAGGGAATGCTGCAGCCAAGAAAAGCAGCATAAAGGACTTTCAATAGATAAGAAGGTAAGCTTCCCCTATCTAACCTACAACACTATGGGTGCTGTAACAGGTTATGCCTCCCTATACTCCAGGCTCTTGCCATGCTTACTGCTAGGCCTCCCTTTTCCCATCCTTCACCCAGGAAAGCAGGAGGCTGGGGAGGGAAGCCACAGCCTCTACCTCCCCTCAAAACCCTCCTGGCTAGAGAACAGAAGCCAGGATGTGAAGCAGTGGAAAGCACAAGCCTCATGCACAGCACCTGCAGGGCAGAGTACAGAAAATTCTCCCCATCTCACCTCCTCGCTGTCACTGAATCTCAGAAAACATTTCCTTAATGTTGGACTTGCCACAGTGGTCATGGGAGACTGTTTGGCTGTAAGTGCACCCCCCCAGTCCTACCCTCTGCTGGTGGAAAATAGGAATGACACAGCACAGGTCCCTGGGGTTAGAGTAGAGGCTACTTCCCAATTCAACCAAGACACCTTTAGACTGGAGTTGCTTCTGATCTGTATCACCAGCAAAAACAATCTTTTTCATGCTCTATCATCCCCTCGCATTCTATGAAGGAACTGTGCTACTGAATGCACTCAAACAAGTGTGCAACCAACATTTCAATAGGAATGTAACCCTCAAGTGCATAAGTATGGGGATCTACTTGATCACCCTATAGAGTCAAGATGCTTTGAAAATAGATTGTTTCCATTATGGGGATCTAAGTAACTGATCAAGATGGGATTACAACGTATGTTACAGGACAGTTTAGAGCCTCTCAGTACACCTTGGAAGTATTACTGGTAAGTGGAACAGGTAGCAATTAGTTTAACACTTAGCACAAAACAAAGCAAGTCAGAAATCCTTAGCACAAAATAAAGGCAAGATAGTTGGAGGAACAACAGCTTTTTGGCCAACAAATTCATCTTTTCTTTCTTCCACAGCAGTGATGGCCACCAGCAGCTGATCATTAACGAAGATTCTATTCAATATGAGAGGCTGGAGGGGCACGTGCCAGGAGGAGGAGGAGGAGGAGAAGGAACAATGATAGATTTTATTGTGTATAGTAAAGCATAAAATAAACCCCATTTGTCCATTGTAACACGTGAAAGGAAAAAAACCAAGACAAACTAAAACCCAGAAACCCAAATACAATAAAAGTGCACGTAATAACCGAAGAGTAGAGAGGAGGAGGGGGGAAGAAGGCATAGCACCAGCAGGGACTTTACAACAAAAGGAAGTAACAGAACATCTCTGATGCATGTTTAAATTAGCCAACGTAAAATTGGATTAAGACAGCCATCGTGTACAGAAGTAGCAAAGCACAGAGGCAATGGGAAAGGCTGGCACACAGATGTTAGACCAGCAGACAAAAGCTGGGCCAGGAGTCCCTTCCAAGGCATTTGGTAAATGACCATAAGTTCAGTAGGATCCCAAGGACTTATGGAAGCACCACTAAGAAACTCTGTTTCAGCAGCTCATGACAAGCTGGGTTCCAATTCAACAGAGATGCTCATGAAGGATCCTACTGCACTGCATGGGCCTGCTCACCTCCATGCAGTTAAGGAGAGACCGGAGTCATCTTTGCAGAACTGGAACCATCCTTTTCTTCCAAAGTTCACTGGGACAGAACCACCAGACCAACCAGACTGCAGCAACAGCTGGGGCAATAGGCCCAGTAGCTCCCAGGACACTGGGGCTGCCTTGAGCCAGACTGATCCAGCTGTGCAAGCATGGACTCTACTTATGAAAGGTTGTGTGGGGGTGGAGAATGCCAATAATGAACTGGGGCAGTCCCCACCAACTCCAAGCCAAATTTGTCTGTGGTGCCTGATGGAAGGAGATAGCACACCTTGCCCACTGCCTCTGCCTTTGTCTCCTGTTTCCTCCATGGTCAGTACAGTGGTACTTGTAGACCCTGCACCCCACAGTCCTGTTTCCATGGGGCTTGCTCACAGCATGCTAACGCAGGCATCCATTGGCCAGTCTGCCAAGGAGACACAAGTGTTAGCAAATCCTTGTGACACAATGCACTAGAGACTGTTTGCAAGGAGAGAGAGAGGAACTAGCTGAAAAAGGGAAGTTTTGACAACCTGCTCTGGCTGGGGAGCACGCACCAAGCAGCGGAGAGGGAGGGCACAATTCTACTTGGCCCACTAGATGTCTGAGACAGCTGCCAGCCAAGTCCTGATCAGGGGTCTTCTACTTCCCCAGTGTATATGTGCAGTTCTCCTGAAGTCTCACTGGGGAGCTCGGGGCTTCCAGAGGAGCATTCTACTTCGCCCTGCAGAACTGCATAGCTCTGCCATGCCCTTCACTAGGAAGCACTTAAACACTTCCAGAGCTGGACCTTCCATTGGCCAGGAGATGCTCAGCTCTCCATCCATCTTATTAATATGTGGTGGGATTCTCCTTTATGTTGACTACATAAGACCAGGGTTTTCAACCTTTTTGGGTCAGTGTACCCCCAGTGGCCAGTTGAGAAGGCAGGAGTCCCCCTGCAGCCAGATGAGCCGGGGGGTAGGGTTCCCCCAGCAGCCAGTCAGTTGGGGGGGGGCGTCCCCTGCAGCTGATCAACAACCGAGTGGCGGCAAAAGTACCAGCAGCAGAAGTGCCACCGGCTGCCAATTACCCCTTGAGGCCATCTCAAGTACCACCCCTGCATTGAAAACCCCTGGCATAAGACATAGCCATCTTAGCAGCACTTGTGACCCGAGCAGGGAGACCTGCCTGCCGACAACTGCACTGACCTCAGTATAAAGACTCTTCTCATATACCCTAATGGTTAGGAAGTTTGCCCAGGACATGGGAGACTTAAGATCCAAAATTTCCTCATCTCCAGTTCGTGCCCATCAGAGTGCTCTAAACACTAAGGTATAGGGCAGTTGTGGCAGGTACCATCATCACCATGAACTCCAAAACCAGTCCCCAGTGAGAATGTTTGGGCATCTACAGCCTCAGGATTCTGCACCGTATTTACGTGCATCTTGGTGAAACTGTCTTGGAAAGGAGCATTACTGGCATTACAAACTCCCTGGTCATGCTCAATTGCTTCCAGGCCCCTACCATAGAATAGATTTAGTTGTGCAGAGCAAAACGCAGAATTGTAGGGAA